AATAATGATGCCAAATAATCATGGTGCTAAAGAAACATTATGCTAATCGAAATTATGCCAAATAAAATTCTGCTATCTTAAAAGTATGCCATTGAAAATTCGGGTATAAAATATAAACATTTTACCAAACGATGACTATTTTTAACAATGTTTATGCCTTATAAATATTCGGTTAAAGAAGATTATGCCAAGTGAGTTATGCCAAATGAGTTTCTGCGTAACGAGATTCTGCCAGATAGAGGGGAGCCTGTGAGCTGTGCGTACCTGTCAGCTGTCAGTCTATTGCTATCTATGAAATACTGCACCGCTCCGCACATCTCCACATGGCTCTGCTCTTCTCCGCACTGCAAAGCGGCGTCAAATTCTATAGACAATCAAGTGCATCTGACACTTCTTCGCTTGATCATCAATTTCCATCGAAGCGGGGCGGAGTGGCGATGTGCAAATAAGGGAATCTGATTGGTTATTCAAAAACATTTCTGCTCCGCTCTGCCTTAGTGTAAACCGGACCTTAGAGGATGAACAGGAGGTGGTATTTGGAGTATTAATTCTATTTCAATATTCAATATTGAATTTCGACGTTGATAAGGACGTCGAAATTAAACTTTAAAAGATGGTATGGAACTCTGTTTCAATTTTCTTTTGTTCGGTTTATACGTAAAATTATTTACAGGAGAGAAGTGTGACTCTTACATTTTTCTTACAATACAATCACCAAGTCGATGTCGATATCGATATTTCATATTGTGCTGTACCACACTAAAATTTCCGCTGGGTGGCCAGCGTATTGAAATAAAAATGTACACTTTTGGGTTACCAAACACTGACCGTATGTAATAATGAAATAGGCAGATTCGACGAACATAATTTTATTGTATTATTACAAACGTTTGGACATAGGACTTATTAACATTAATTAATTAGTATATTGACCAAATTAAAAAAAATCTTTCTTTTCCAAATACTTACTTCCTGCCAATAGGTAGGCAGTATCTAATTTTTAACATAGAATTTCGATTATATTCGTAAGTACACTATTCTTAAAAATATTACAAAATTAGGAATTTGTGCTTTCCAGTGGCAACACTTCTTGAAATTTAGTTTTTTGCAAATTTAGTGTATTAATTAATGTAAAATAAATAAAATAATATTTACTGATGGAAGGTAATATTGTCCTTTTCAAGATTTGATGTTTCAAATCTCTTCTTACAATTAAATACACTGCAATTCACCATTTTTATCTCAGCACGTTACTCTTCAATAGTGACATTTGGAATATGTCATTGGTGGCGCTGCAACTAGTTTTTATAAACTGAGTGAACCACTGTGGGTCTAGACAAAGTGCAAATTATAATCGCAAACCAGTCGAAAAGTGGTCGAAAAGCCCCTTTTTTGTATAGAGTTTTGACGGATTCGATTTTCGATTCGATCAAAAAGTGCGTTTTGTCTAGGGGGGCTGGTCTACTTACATTGCTAGAGGGGATTGCCTGTCAGTTCCACTCCTGTTGGTTAATAACTCTATGGAAAAGACAGTGGATTAGTCACAGATATGGATAGATGCAGCATGTGAAAAAATTTGTATGAAGCCGAGCGTGCCACTTTTTAAACGTCATTAGTGTCATTTTAGCGAATTTTAGTGATTGCCGCAACGTAAAAATAATCGTATCATCGTACTGCATTCGCAAAGTCATCGAAAGATATCGTGTGATTCGATTCGACAATTAATTTATTCCGATAAAACTGATAATTAGTTAAATACAAAACCAAAAACATTTTTATTTACCTTTTTAAATAAATTAATTCTTACAAATCGTCACATCTCGTTATTTTTTTTACCCTACCAGTGTTTCAAGACAAAAATTTGTCAAGTGCATGAATACATGGATCAGTGTGTGTCTTATTGTTATGAGTAAGTACGGTTCCTGACGTTGAGAAGGGTAGCTCAACGTCGAAATTCAACTTTAAAAGATGGTATGGAACTCTGTTTCAATTTTCTTTTGTTCGGTTTATACGTAAAATTATTTACAGGAGAAGTGCGACTCTTACATTTTTCTAACAATACAATCACCAAGTCGATGTCGATATCGATATTTCATATTGTGCTGTACCACACTAAAATTTCCGCTGGGTGGCCAGCGTATTGAAATAAAAATGTACACTTTTGGGTTACCAAACACTGACCGTATGTAATAATGAAATAGGCAGATTCGACGAACATAATTTTATTGTATTATTACAAACGTTTGGACATAGGACTTATTAACATTAATTAATTAGTATATTGACCAAATTAAAAAAAAACTTTCTTTTCCAAATACTTACTTCCTGCCAATAGGTAGGCAGTATCTAATTTTTAACATAGAATTTCGATTATATTCGTAAGTACACTATTCTTAAAAATATTACAAAATTAGGAATTTGTGCTTTCCAGTGGCAACACTTCTTGAAATTTAGTTTTTTGCAAATTTAGTGTATTAATTAATGTAAAATAAATAAAATAATATTTACTGATGGAAGGTAATATTGTCCTTTTCAAGATTTGATGTTTCAAATCTCTTCTTACAATTAAATACACTGCAATTCACCATTTTTATCTCAGCACGTTACTCTTCAATAGTGACATTTGGAATATGTCATTGGTGGCGCTGCAACTAGTTTTTATAAACTGAGTGAACCACTGTGGGTCTAGACAAAGTGCAAATTATAATCGCAAACCAGTCGAAAAGTGGTCGAAAAGCCCCTTTTTTGTATAGAGTTTTGACGGATTCGATTTTCGATTCGATCAAAAAGTGCGTTTTGTCTAGGGGGGCTGGTCTACTTACATTGCTAGAGGGGATTGCCTGTCAGTTCCACTCCTGTTGGTTAATAACTCTATGGAAAAGACAGTGGATTAGTCACAGATATGGATAGATGCAGCATGTGAAAAAATTTGTATGAAGCCGAGCGTGCCACTTTTTAAACGTCATTAGTGTCATTTTAGCGAATTTTAGTGATTGCCGCAACGTAAAAATAATCGTATCATCGTACTGCATTCGCAAAGTCATCGAAATATATCGTGTGATTCGATTCGACAATTAATTTATTCCGATAAAACTGATAATTAGTTAAATACAAAACCAAAAACATTTTTATTTACCTTTTTAAATAAATTAATTCTTACAAATCGTCACATCTCGTTATTTTTTTTACCCTACCAGTGTTTCAAGACAAAAATTTGTCAAGTGCATGAATACATGGATCAGTGTGTGTCTTATTGTTATGAGTAAGTACGGTTCCTTGGGATCGGTATGAGTGCAACACACACAGGGACCATGGTTTTAACTCATAAGAATACATCGCAGGATATGTATTAAAAACAATGCTACTTTATACTTCTTCTACTGCTACTTTATTCTAATTAATTATTTGTTACTTGTGCTGTTAATTACAATTCTCAATCCGTAAATAATTTCTTCTTTCTACCGTGTTCGTACTACTGTCCTCGTAAAATCATCGTAACCGATTGTTGTAATCGGATTACATGAACATCACTCGACCATGTATGTCCATTTGGACATATCGGAATGGCACGCTTTGACGATCAACTTGCTGTATCTAGTTGGCGTTTTACACAGACTGAAAGTTTCTTAAGTACAATACGATACGTACGACTATTTATAGAAATAACTTTGCACTATTTTTTTAACTCTAAAAAGTAAAAATGTCACGTACTCTGTGTTTAAAAAGTAAACTGTCATCAGCTGTCACCAAATGTCATGTGTGAAAGTGATGTTAAAAACATGTAGAATATAAATTGTGTATCGATAACGGGACAGTTACAAAAAATACACCGAAAACATGGCAAAAACCAGACTGTTTACCCAGTATGATAGCGCCCAGTAGCCTTATTCACGTAACAAAACTTCAACGACAACAAATCGCTGAATGCGATTCTATCGTACCGATCGAGTAATCGTTCTATCGAAATGAGCCTTATGAATACGGATTTAGAACTGTTTTTTAATGGGACGACGTAACTAAACGTCAATGACGACAACAAATCGCTGAGTTGCGATCCTATCGAGTAATCTATACTAGTCTTTACTAATATTATAAATGCGAACTGCGAAAGTAAGTCTGTCTGTCTGTCTGTCTCTCTTTCACGCCTAAACCACAGAACCGATTTTGATGAAAGGTAGGGAGATAGTTTGAGTCCCGGGAAAGGACATAGGATAGTTTTTATCCCGGTTTTTGAAACAGGGACGCGCGCGATAAAGTTTTTCTGTGACAGACAAAATTCCACGCGGGCGAAACCGCGGGCGGAAAGCTAGTCGTTCTATAAAAATGGCCCTTGTGAATACGGATTTAGAACTGTTTCGACAACTTCTGAACGTCATTCAGCGAGATCTTGACTGTCAAAATACGTGAGTTAGGCCACAGATTGTCAATTGATGGTTTCATTTAATTTATTTAAACCAGGTTACCTATAATATAATAATTTTTCGTTAATTTAGGAAATATTAACCCGTAATCCTGAATCCTGATACATAAAGTTAGCCTATTAATTTAACACAGGTACGACTGGGTTCTACTCACGTACCACACCCACCCTTACTTCAAAATAATGTTAAAGTTGTGAAAGAAAAACACTATCTGTGCAATTATAAAAATCCATAATGAAGGTACATAATACAATATTTTCTTACTTGTTGTGGAGATTCTAATTTATTTTAGTTTAATTAAAAACTAATACTATCGATGTCTATAAGCACAAAGTAATGAATGTCACATCCCTAATTTTTGTTATCATATCGTGGTCACGTGATGTAGAGTTCTCGTTCTTGTTTGTTGAACTTTGTTGTGAAGATTAAAATTTAATTTATAGTCCGTTTTTGTATTTGGTGCTGGTCACAAAGTACTTTTTATATATGGTGCTGGTGATCATCAATGATCATTAATACTGATTAATGACAAAGCACTGGCTTTGTGAATTATGAACTGAAACTTAAATTACATAGTTTAAAAAAGTTTACCTAACAATAACAAACTGTGTAACACTTGCTAATTTCAATATGAGTTCTCGAAAATTGGGTGACTTAAAAGTTACACCGAAAAAGTAAGTAAACACGAGATTTTCGTAAAATTATTATTAATGAATAGACATTAATTTGAAGATGTTAATTTACTGCATTCATGAAACAATGCTATTAACATACTTATCTATTTTTTCATTTTTATGTTTAAAAGTCAAGCGTCTCATTTCTAATCTAATATACCTAAATATTGGCATACATAGTAGACAATAGAAATTAACTGTTGGCTCACAGGAACCACTTGTTGTCTTGTTTGAATACTTTTATGGTATTTTAAATGTAACTTTTTATTTCATCATTTCAGCCACAGGACGTCCACTGCTGAAAATTGGCCTCTGCCAATGATTTCCACATCGCACGGTTGGTAGCGGCCTGCATCCAGCGCCTTCCTGCTACCTTTATGAGGTCTTCGGTCCAAGCATGACAAATATTGGCAACTCCCCTCTGATGATAATCTTATTATTTATTTTCAGAGTATTCGCAGAGTTACCGGAGACCTATGAAGTGTCTAAAGAACAGTTGAAGTTTTACGACGACAATGGCTACTTAGTGATAAAGCAGCTTATTGATTTTGGATCGTTATACAGCTATAAGTAAGTACATTTAATATTTAAAAAATTCAAATCAAGTCTTATCTAAATCATGCAGACATTAGAATAATAATCTGTATTATCATAAATAATTATTTCTATGATAACAACATCATTTGTATACAATTTTTTTTTTAACTTATATCTGTAGTCCCAGCAGCAATCTGTAGGGAACTACAATAATCTTGTTAATTTGTATACAATGACCTTGTTTTATTTTCAATCAATCCTTGTTAATTTTATGTTTGTTAAAAATTTAATGTTAATTTATCTTATTAACGGTAATTAAAATAAACCTATTTTCATTTTTCTTTGTACTACTACCTAAAATTACCTATTCCCGCTAAATCTCCAAAACAATTACAATTGAAAATGAAAATGTTTTCTTTTATAAATAAAGTTCATTTACAAAGTATTTTGGTAACCATCCTTTTAAGTATAAGAATACCTGTAGTAGGAGGTTACCGTTCTTCCAAAAGTATTAACGTACATCCTTAATTAGTGTGTTTGTGGTGTATTGATTGAATTAATGTGTTGTGTTGTGAGTGGAGTGTTATGTATTATTTACTTAATAATTGTCATTTTATTGCTGTTAAATATTTTTCAGAAAGCAATTCAGTTTGATTTGCAACGGAGTGATACCCCGTGGGAATGTGACGATTGTGAAGGAAGCCAACCTGGTCAAAGAGGCGAAGAAGGCTGAGGATTATGTTAATAAGGTGAGCAAGATAAGCCAGGGCCGGACCGTGAGTTTAGGGGGCCCTGGGCTAATACCACAGAATAATAATAAGTACTACGTACAGAAGTTTTACTTCGCGAAGGTATTTAAAAAAATGTATGCTCAATATCATTAACAATATGGTGTAATTTAGCTTGTCTTAAGAGTCAAGCACCATTTTGTTGACAAACGTCAGTGATCGGTACTGCGCCGAAGCTATAGGGCTGACTTCGGTAAAATGATGTGACGTGAGGTGCCAAACTGCAGAAAATGGCGGAGAAAGAATTTTTCAGGAGAGACAAAAAACCGTCTCCGCAATATTTTTATGATGTTTTCATTGAACGCGATAGATGGCATTACAATCATCCAATTCGAATATAGGTGAGCTCGAAATGTGCGTTGAGAGGTTTTCTAACTTATAAAAATTCGACTTACGAGGTTTTCACTCGTCAACGACATACTCTTTCGCATTATCGTCTATTTTTGATTTTGACTTGACTTAGCTGGAATCCACGAGGCCCTGGATTGAAGCCCAAAAAGCCCTAATAAAATGGTAGATCCAGCCCTGAGATAAGCTGATTTGCATAATTTTGCGTTTGCAGGTTTGAATACAAATTTATTCAACAATGTTGACGTTAACAGAATGCACACGAATATTTAAGTGACTTGCTTACGTCTACGTGCGCATGATTTTTTTTACATTAGGTACATAATAGGTATGAACTTCTATCGTTCCTTCGTTTCAGCCGAATGACGTCCACTGCTGGACAAAGGCCTCCCCAAGGATTTCTACAAAGACTAGGCAGCTCCCGCGACCTTCAGCAGATATTCGGTCCACTTAGGGAGGCCTGCCCACGCTACGTCTTCCGGCCTGTGGTCGCCACTCGAGAACTTTTCTGCCCCATCGGCCATCGGCTCTTCGAGCTATGTGCCCCGCCCACTGCCACTTGATTTTAGCAATTCTGCGGGCTATGTCAGTCGCTTTGGTTCTCCTGCGGATCTCCTCATTTCTGATTCGATCACGCAGGGAAACTCCGAGCATAGCAGTGGAATTACTTAGCAATATCCGATTTAAATAATACATATAAATTTATACTAGCCACCGTAGCTAGCCAGTTAGACTTAGAACAAGCCCTACGAACCAAACCGGAAAAAAGATCCCTACTGGGAATCAAACTCTGGACCTCTTAATCCGAGACAGGTGGTCTTACTACACACCACAGAACGAATTTATCATTTCAGCCATAGGACGTCCACTGCTGAACATAGGCCTCCCCCAATGACTTCCATACTGACCGGTTGGTAGCGGCCTGCATCCAGCGCCTTCCTGCTACCTTTATGATGTCGTAGGTCCACCTTGTGGGTGGACGTCCCCCGCTGCCGAAAACGCAGTTTCGTGGCCTCCACTCCAGAACCTTGCTGCCCCATCGGCCGTCAGTTCTGCGTAGTACGCAGTGCGTACTGTGCCTATTGCCACTTCAGCTTGCTAATCCGTCGGGCCACGTCATTATCATTTATTTATTACTAGCGGCCGCCCGCGACTTCGTACGCGTGGATCCCGTTTTACCCCCTTCATCTATCTTACGCGGTTTAGATTTTTTCATACAAATGTATTTTCCCGCAAACTTCCATTCCCGTGGGAATTTTGCAATATCCTGTTGTAACTAAGCTTTAAGTTTACTAAAGTACCTGCATGCCAAATTTCAAGTGTCTAACTTAAGCGGTTTAGATTTTTCAGACAAAAGTATTTTCTCGCTAATTCCTGTTCCTGTGGGAATTCCTAAGTATACTATAACCTGCCCAGGAATATGAAGAATAATTTTACCAAGTTTCGTTAAAATCCGTCGAGTAGTTTTTGTTTCTAGGAACATACAGACAGACAAAAAATTTACTGATTGCATTTTTGGCATCAGTATCGATCACTAATCACCCCCTAATAGTTATTTTGAAAATATATTTCATGTACAGAAAGAAGAAAAGTTCTGGAATGGAGGCCGCGCACCGGAAAACGCAGCGTGGGACGTCCACCTACAAGGTGGACCGACGACATCGTAAAGGTAGCAGGGAAGCGCTGGGCGCAGGCCGCTACCAATCGAGCAACATGGAAAGCATTGGGGGAGGCCTATGTTCAGCAGTGGACGTCCTATGGCTGAAATGATGATGATGTACAGAATTGACTCTCTACAGATTTATTTTTATTTATTTAAAAAAAAAGTATATAAGTAGTATATCCGTTAAGTTAGCACCCATAACACAAGCATTGAGTTGCTTACTTTGGGGCTAGCTGGCGCTGTGTGAAATTGTCAAATCAAATCAAATCAAATTCGTTTATTTGTGGAACATAGGTAAATAACATATTACAGGTGTTAAAAATGAAGTCGGTATCACTATGTTTGGCCCAAGGTCGGCGTACAAATTTACATAACATCATTGAGTCGTATTAGGTTAGTAGAAATTAAATAAAATAAAAAGTAAGTTAGTAATGTCCAATCAGTAACAATTTCATAAACATTTATACATAAAAAAAAAGTCAAGAATCTTACAATTTGTCAGTTAAAAACTCTGTCAATGTATAGTAGGCTTTGCTTAATAATAAGGATAGCAGCTGCTTGCGAAATATCTGAATATTTGTGTCTTTTAGTGTCTGTGGTAATTTATTGTAAATTTTTGGAGCCATACTAAAGAAGCTTTTTTGTTTTAAAGCAGTTTTTGAGACAGGTGCACTTAAAATGTGACCATGACGTCTACTCTTTTTATTATGTCCAAAGATTTATTTATTTATTTATTTCCAGCTGCAAGACATTCTCTACGACGACGTGTTTGCGTCGTACATAGAGCATCCACGGCTCTTGAACGTTGTGTCGCAGTTCATCGGCGACAACGTCTCTGCGATGCACACCATGCTTATCAACAAGCCTCCGGGCACGGGACGCCATCCTCCGCATCAGGTGAATAGAACCTCCTCCTTTTTCAAAATCAAAATCAAAAATATTTTATTTAATTTAGACCACTGGTGGCACTCATGAACGAAAAAATATCTATACTAATATTATAAATGCGAAAGTAACTCTGTCTGTCTGTCTCTCTTTTACGCCTAAACCACTGAACCGATTTTGATGAAATTTGGCATAGATAGAGTTTGATTCCCGGGAAAGGACATAGGATAGTTTTTTTCCGGATTTTGAAACAGGGACGCGCGCGATAAAGGTTTTCTGTGACACAAAATTCTACGCGGGCGAAGCCGCGGGCGGAATGGTAGCCCTTATGGGGCACTTTACATGTCTTCTGATATTTTAGCCCTACCAGCGCTTCGAGACAAACATAAATGGCAAGTGCTGAGAAGAAACGCCGGAACAAACTCGGTCACCACTAGTTTTTTTGAAGTCGGTTAAATAGATGATCAGGTGATAACATCCTTTGTAACAGAAAAAGTACGGTGTTGATGTCATCCTTCGCAATAGTCAAACATTTTTATACTGTAGATGCGACGTATTAATAATAGGATTAAATTGATTACTTATTATCGGTGTCGCCCCCAAAAAGCACAGATTAAAGGTCATAGCAGACTTATCAACTCTGAAAGGGATCAACACCTTTCGCGCGCTGTCAACCGCGAGGCGAGGCGTTTACGTTACGGTGCGGATGAGTGTGCGTTGCAGTAGGACGTTTATACAAAAAATACTGACCGCCTCGAGTTGATACGGTTACAATCCCTTTCTGGGTTGATAAGTGTGCTATGTAATGTGCCTTAACACTAACAGTTTACGCATGATTGTGGGATGACATCCTCAGCAACAGAAAGTACTTAGATAGTCAAAGTAAAAAAAAGATCAATAAAAGTTGGTAGTAACAGTAATAACAGTTTTTTTGTCTGCGAATGACGTCTGAATATATAAACAACATTTCTGACGACAAATTGTTAGAAAATTGGCACAATACCAGGCCTGTTCATCTCCGTGAGTTTATATCGAAAACAAAACACGCACGATGGCCCACCTACAGGATACTATTCGACAAGGCCTCACATACGAGCGAACATTGACTCATGTGTATGATGGAAGAAAATGGTGTACTAAATACTGTGCAGTATTTAACTGCCTAAATAATAATAAAAACACAGAATGTATTTTTTTTAGTTGCCTCAAGACACTGAGAGGTAAATAAGTAGTTAATATTATTCATGATAATTCATGCTAAATCATGTATTTCCTCCGCTATTTTCCGCAGTTTGGCACCTCACGTCACATCATTTTACCGAAGTCAGCCCTATAGCTTCGGCGCAGTGCCGATCACTGACGTTTGTCAACAAAATGGTGCTTGACTCTTGAGACAGGCTAAATTACACCTAGTAGGGAATTTAGTGCAAGAACCCCTCCACTTTGGTATAGAAGGCTCATTTTTGCAACAGTGATTCTTTGGGTGCTCCTGAGTGGATTTCCGTCGGTAGACATCGGGAGCCCCCCCTGTGATAGCAGGGGGAGGGGGGGCAACTTTCCTTCCGCCGCGCTTCACTTTAAGGCCCATATCTTCAAAATTATGGGTATTAGGGCAAGTGTGGTATCATTTTCGGATAATTAAAGGATGGCGAATTCATTTCTAGAACAAACTTTTTGCCTTTTCATACAAAAAATTTGAAATATTGAGTAAAATTCACAAAAACCAAAAAGTATTTTTTTAAATAAACGTCGTTTACTTTTAAACCACTGGAGATAAAAATAATAATAAAAACACAGAATGTACTTTTTTAAGTTGCCTCAAGACACTGAGAGGTAAATAAGTAGTTAATATTATTCATGATAATTCATGCTAAATCATGTATTTCCTCCGCTATTTTCCGCAGTTTGGCACCTCACGTCACATCATTTTACCGAAGTCAGCCCTATAGCTTCGGCGCAGTGCCGATCACTGACGTTTGTCAACAAAATGGTGCTTGACTCTTGAGACAGGCTAAATTACACCTAGTAGGGAATTTAGTGCAAGAACCCCTCCACTTTGGTATAGAAGGCTCATTTTTGCAACAGTGGTTCTTTGGGTGCTCCTGAGTGGATTTCCGTCGGTAGACATCGGGAGCCCCCCCTGTGGTAGCAGGGGGAGGGGGGGCAAGTTTCCTTCCGCCGCGCTTCACTTTAAGGCCCATATCTTCAAAACTATGGGTATTAGGGCAAGTGTGGTATCATTTTCGGATAATTAAAGGATGGCGAATTCATTTCTAGAACAAACTTTTTGCCTTTTCATACAAAAAAATTGAAATATTGAGTAAAATTCACAAAAACCAAAAAGTATTTTTTTAAATAAACGTCGTTTACTTTTAAACCACTGGAGATAATCTAATAAAAAAAATATGACCTGAAAGCTACATTTATCAGGATTATAAAAATATAACATTGTATGGTACTTTTTTCGCAAAAAGTAGGTGAAAAAAATTTTTTCTTCAGGACACAGCGGGCGAATTTTATTGCGCATCGGAAAAAAATATTTATTTTATCCATGAATTCATACTATTTGGTTCATAAGCAAGCAAGGATTATTATTTTAGAATTTATTTAGAGTTGCTGGCACATCAATCTACCATAATTTGTATTTTTTCGTCAATTGATTTTGAACTCTATGTGTGAGACATAAGGTTGAAAATAGTTTAAATACATTTTAATATTGAAAATATCATAAGAAGAAAGCACTAAATAAAGAACTTTAATTTGTCTAAACGTCTTAATGATTATTATTATTTTAATTAACACTTTTATTTCTACATACTATTGTACCAGTGATTTAACGGAAAGGTAAGTGTGAGGAAAATGAGGTTTCACAATCATAGTACGGGAGATATTTTTAGCACAAAGGTTACGGCTGTGACCTTTTTAGTTGTTTTTTTCAGACAGCACCAGCTTCTGCACTACTTCTTGCACTTACATCTCACCATTTCCAGGCAAGCCTCGGCAGCTACGGGCAAACCGGTCCATGTAGGCTCCATCTTGCTATCGGCTCTGGTCCACCCCCAACCAGTCGGGTAAAGGGAAGACTGAGTCGGTTGCTTGCAACTAATCCTATACGCGAACCCCTTGGATTGATCTAATAAGTAAGTGGATAGATCTTGAACAAGGGACGACTAGAAAAGAGGACCAAAATCCCAACAGAACAGCCTAATCTGGTTTACTGACAGCTCAAAGATGCAGTAGCGGCGTAGGGGGGGGCCGGGTGCCAAGCATCAGAGGGTGACACATGTCGCACAGATAAGTACTCACTGGCGCATCTGCATAGCAAGTCTGCGGTCTATGTCATTGTCTTTCAATCTTGGAATCGGTAGGTAACCCCAAAATCGTGGGGGTTACCAGGGGGTGCCTTAGGACTTACGCCGCCACTGTAAAGATGGCCTTGGGAACGGGAACGGGCGTCTACTGTAAACACTTCGAACATAGTGAACGCTTAAGGAGGTTTGCTACAGTGTTTCAAGCTGAATTCTACGCTATAATATGTGTGCACTAAAGAACAGGGGTGTAAAAAACGCAATATTTACATCCTGATCCACAGCCAGGCAGCACTCAAACAAAAAGCCATCGCCTCAGTGAAGGTTGAGTCTAGAATTATTCTAGATGCAATCTTAAAGATGAACAAACTCGGAAGGCATGAAAGTGTCCCTGATGTGGGATACCTGGACATACACGGATCAAATGCAATGGGAGAGCCGACAGTCTAGCGAAACTAGGGTCAGAGGCGATACCTATTGGGTCAGAACTGATACTTACCTTTATCTAACGGCATACCTCATGGCCATAATATGGCCATATCCAAGAAGCACAGTGCTGAATGGGAAAGCTCCAACGATATAAGATAAGCCTCTCCAAATCATTCCTAAAGGGAAACACAGGGTCATGGAGAAAACTCATTAAGCGGAAATAAAAGGTACCTAAGCCCAAGCAATTACTGGTACGCAAACTGGGCATTATGGAACGAACCACATGTCCCACAAAATGGGCCTAACAACAGAAGACAGCTCTCGAGCATGTGGAATACATGTGGGGTCCATGAATCAATACTGTAAGGATGGGTCTGCTTGGGTCAGCATATCCGGCATCAGAAGACTTAGAAGGCTTTCACTCAGACGCTTAATTCACCTAATGGATAGGATTTTTTTGGATGATAGGGAATAAAAAAATGGAGCATAAAGATCCTAATGGGTCGCTGTGGACTACGCTTAGACCTAGCTTAGCTTAGGCCCTACATAAGATAACCCAGACAGCAGCAGCAGCTTTGTATCAGCCTTGGCTACTGGCAGTATATCAAGGGATTCGCGTATAGGATCAGGTGCAAGCAACCGACTCGAGTCTTCCCTTTACCCGACTGGTTGGGGGTGGACCAGAGTCGATAGCAAGATGGAGCCTACATGGACCGGTTTGCCCGTAGCTGCCGAGGCTTGCCTGGAAATGGTGAGATGTAAGTGCAAGAAGTAGTGCAGAAGCTGGTGCTGTCTGAAAAAAACAACTAAAAAGGTCACAGCCGTAACCTTTGTGCTAAAAATATCTCCCGTACTATGATTGTGAAACCTCATTTTCCTCACACTTACCTTTCCGTTAAATCACTGGTACAATTGTATGTAGAAATAAAAGTGTTAATTAAAATAATAATAATCATTAAGACGTTTAGACAAATTAAAGTTCTTTATATAGTGCTTTCTTCTTATGATATTTTCAATATTAAAATGTATTTAAGCTATTTTCAACCTTATGTCTCACACATAGAGTTCAAAATCAATTGACGAAAAAATACAAATTATGGTAGATTGATGTGCCAGCAACTCTAAATAAATTCTAAAATAATAATCCTTGCTTGCTTATGAACCAAATAGTATGAATTCATGGATAAAATAAATATTTTTTTCCGATGCGCAATAAAATTCGCCCGCTGTGTCCTGAAGAAAAAATTTTTTTCACCTACTTTTTGCGAAAAAAGTACCATACAATGTTATATTTTTATAATCCTGATAAATGTAGCTTTCAGGTCATATTTTTTTTATTAGATTATCTCCAGTGGTTTAAAAGTAAACGACGTTTATTTAAAAAAATACTTTTTGGTTTTTGTGAATTTTACTCAATATTTCAAATTTTTTGTATTTAAAGGCAAAAAGTTTGTTCTAGAAATAAATTCGCCATCCTTTAATTATCCGAAAATGATACCACACTTGCCCTAATACCCATAGTTTTGAAGATATGGGCCTTAAAGTGAAGCGCGGCGGAAGGAAAGTTGCCCCCCCTCCCCCTGCTACCACAGGGGGGGCTCCCGATGTCTACCGACGGAAATCCACTCAGGAGCACCAAAAGAACCACTGTTGCAAAAATGAGCCTTCTATACCAAAGTGGAGGGGTCTCCATACAAATCATTGCACTAAATTCCCTACTAACCATATTGTTAACAACACTGAGCATTTTTTTTTTAAATACCTTCGCGAAGTAAAACTTCTGTACATAGTACTTATTATTATTCTGTGGAAATACTAACTTTTTAGTACACTCCACAAGCACCATTATTACAATAAATACACAATTAATTCGCCAGGACATATATTATTTCCCGTTCCGACCGGCACACAAGATCATAGCGGCGTGGACGGCCATAGACGACGTGACCATCGACAACGGATGCCTGTACGTGCTGCCCGGCAGCCATAGAGGAGAGCTGCACAGCCATGGGTACCCTGAGGTGAGTTATCCGTAAACGGGAATATTCCCACCTCTCGTTCCCACCACTGCAACTCCTGTGTAGCCAGGATCTACAGCTTGACCGCCATAAAAACCCAACCAGTGAAGGTCAAGTTTGTCCCGGGGGAAAGTTAAACAGTCATTGGACCCGCAAAGAAATTAATCAGAAGAACATAGGAGGAGTTCGAAGTTCTTAAGAGGAGTTCGAAGATATCCGTAAAGATACCAACAGGGTTATATAAAATCATTGGGGCATGATGTATTCAGTAGTGGATATCTCCAATTCATTTGCGTTTCATCTCTAGTCCACACTCCAGTCACGCTCCATTTTCATTCCAGCTGATGTGCAATTTAGTATCGCGGTAAAATTCACGCGCAAACAAAAACAAAACAACAGATTGGTGCACTTTCTTTCCATTAAAATTCCGAACACCTTGTTTTTAAAAACAAAATTACTAAAACACAGAAAATATTTGAGAAGCGTTTGAGTTGCGTGTGAGAGAAAGTAGCTGTCTGTCAGCTTTTACTCAAAAGCGCAGTTGCATTCCGTTTATGTTACAACTTCGTTTGAACTAGCTGTCAAAACGACACCGCGATACGGATTTGTCAAAACAGCTAAAGTTCGTTCGTCGTCCAGTCATGTTGCAGTTGACAATTTTTAGCACAATCGGGGCCCTGTGGCTGAAATTATCCGTTCCGTTACATATAATATTTCAGTTGTAGTTTATTATTTATTTACTTAAATTAAATGCTGCTTTTACTTTGAATTGGCCGCAGGCCTCATCCAGTGTGACATCCTTTAAATGTTTTTTTACTCAAATCATTCATGTTTTTAACTTTATATGCAAAGTTATTTTGCCACTTTTAACACCTAAGCGAAATATTCGTTAAGTTCGCAATCAAATGCTAAAACCTTAAACATGCAATGAGAATATTTTTATTTAGATTCTTATTGCCTCAGCTCAAGGTTGAAAAACATAGCATTTGAAATTTACTGTTTACATACATTATCATCTCAAATTAATGTCGCTAAAAACCAAGAGTTAGTTAATTTGCAAACTTGTCAAACAATATTTTACCTATAAATCATAAAGGGGCTTATCTGACAGATAAACTTGGCGTTATGTACCAAATAACTATCAGATATTTTATCACAGACTTGTAAAACTGTTCCAAAGTAGACTAAGGGCTTGTTACCACGGAGTCATACCGTTTTTTTGCAGGAACGGTTTTTAGCGAACGAATGAAAAACTACAACTTTTACGATTTCAAAACAATATTTTTGTGTTGGATAGCCCATTTAGCAAGGAAGGCTTTAGGCTGTATAACATCACACTACAGTCAATAGGGACGGAGCAGTAAAGAAAAATGTTACAAAAATTTATTCAAACTATTTTCATGCGTACGAAGTCGCAGGCAAAGCTAGTATTATAAGGCTTAGAAATTGTTTTTTGTATTACAGAAATTCATGCGTCTCTACCATGGAATAATAGAAGAGGACACCATAGCGCCGGAAAACCAACGAGTGAACTTAGAGATGAGTCCGGGAGACACAGTGTTCTTTCACCCACATTTGGTGCATGGCTCCAGGCCTAACGTGTCCAAGGTATGAGAAAAGTGAACATATTTTATTAATAAACAATGTACTTAAAGATTAGACGACCTGTGAAATTAGTATTGACTCTGGACTGGAAATAATACAAGCATTTTAAAGTTTATGAAATTAGCACAGCTTGATGTCACATGTCACGCTCATGTTGACTAGTATGAGACTGATTTTGTTTTAGTTAGTTAGATGACGTCATTGGGTTTCGAATTTCTGTGGGTCTAGACAAAGTGCAATTATAATCGCAAACTAGTCGAAAAGTGGTCGAAAAGCCCCTTTTTTGTATGGAATTTTGACGGATTCGATTTTCGATTCGATCAAAAAGTGCGTTTTGTCTAGGGGGGCTGGTATTTTTAGAAATTGACAAACAACAGCTGTTAACGATTTGATAAGAAAACTGTGAGAAACAAAAAATACAAACTCAGTCCCACAACTTAAGTCATAGGTTGTGAGGTTCGAATCTCGCTGTGACATAATGAGAATTATTTTTACATACCTACTGGGGTTAGTAGTAGTTTCGCACGATTTTCCTTCGCACGAATGTGCGAAACGTCCCCTTTCAATAATATTTTTTTTTACTAGGCGTTTCGCCCGGATGTATTAAAAGTATTAAAATCGCGTGCGAATCGACTCTTTTTTGAACTAGTAGTATGCAATTACTAGTTCTCAAAGGGGTCGATTCGCACCCGTTTTTAATACTTTTGATAAATCCGGTCGAAACGCTTACTAAAAAAAAATATTATTGGAAGGGGACAAACTACTACTAACTCACCTACTGCCAGCTACCATACTTTGAATCCTGTTGCCTTGTAAAAAGAACTCCCATTTTGTTGATTGTTCCCGATGATTAGTTTCCTTTTTTATCTTCATAAAAATAAAGTGAATGTATAAGAAAAATTTAAAAAACTGAGGCTCAAACAACCCCGTATTTTCCAGGGCTTCCGAAAATCCATATCGTGCCACTACGCAAGCAGCGATTGCCACTTCATAGACGTGACCGGTACTGTGCAGGAGAAGATTGCTGAGGAAAGTATCGCTGAAGCGAAGAGACGAGGCATTGAACTGACTTACGAGGTAAGAAAAGAATCTTTCGTTTCAGCCAAATGACGTCCACTGCTGGACAAAGGGGATTTCCACAAAGACCGGTCCTGCGCCGCCCGCATCCAGGCACTACACGCGACAATCACCAGATCGTCAGTCCACCTAGTGAAGGGCCTACATTACGTCTTCCGGCCCGAAGAAGAGAATAAGTGTGCAAAAATATAACACTGTTAAATAGAAAAACAAGTAAGAAACAGAAGAACAAGTAACGGAAATACAAATACAAGTTGATTTGTTAAATAATTTTAGAGAATAATAGTCAAGCTGCGAAATCAAATATTAATAGTAACCAGTGCTGTGTTGTTTTTCCAGGATTAAATTGTTTTCTTTACTTATTTTCCAAAAATCACTCTCCTAAGCGCGCTTGTGCATTTTTCTCTGCTTACCTGCTTTTACAAATGAAGCTCCCGAGTAAAAAAGCATAATATAAGTAGGTAACTTGAAAAATTTTAAGCAATAAAGGACATAGCACACTTATCAACCCGGAAAGGGATCGTAAGGCGATGACAGCTCGCAAAAGGATATACGGTGTTGATCCCTTTCTGAGTTGATAAGTCTGCTATGACCTTAATTCACTAAGTAAATATGTTTTTTTCACAGGAAATTTGGAGATACAGGAGCAAACACGTGAAGGGAGTCAGATCCAATTTGTAAGTTTATTTACACGTAAATTAATATAAACATTTTATCGGAATTCTAAGATTTAAAGATCATTTTCATCGGGTATAAGTGCGAGATTTTTATTTTTTTATTATTATAGTATATTATGTAAAATAATGTTTACTCTATTAGCTTTAAAACGGTGCAATGTGATATTATATTAATATTTCTATAACATTTTTATATTATTATATCAAAGTTATTTTGTTATTAAAAGTTATTGAAAAATAATTGCTTTTATTTCGTCAACATTACAATCACGTATGACTACAATGTGTTGCTAAATGTGCCGTTCTTTGTACATAAAAATATCGTCCCTTAGCTAACAACACCGCGTAAGTCATTTTTAGCAACTTTACAGGAGACGAAAAAAACTGTTTATTTAAAAAAATCGGTGGATTTTTCCTATTGTTACTTATTAAATACTTTATTTAACGGTTGAGAAATAATTATTTATACTTAATTTGACGATTTACTTTATTTTAACCTATATTTTATGACTTGAGCGGTATTGACTGATATTTTTGTAGAGTTAGGCGGTGTTGTTTGCCGAAATGTAAAGGAATAAGGTATTAATAGATGATTTACAAAGAAAAATTTTATTAAGAATTATTTAAAAAATAATTAAACAATCATTATAACCTATGACCTATCCTATCTTTAACCTAAATCTGAAGAATCACAGTGTATAGATCAAATATTGTGAGGGGGGGCCTTCAACGCGAAGCTGGGCAAACGAAACGACAATGAGCTGGAAGTGGGGCAATTTGGGTATGGAGAGAGGAACGCACTTGGCTAACTGCTGGCTGGCTTTATGGAGAGGGATGATGAACTCCTTCTTCAGAAAACAGCGAAAGTAGATTTCGCCGCATCCCAATGACGCTATGAAATATGAGATCAACTTCATCTTGTCGACGTAGAAGCATGTTGTCTGTGAGGTCAATTTGGTCAAAACAGGAAGCAATCACCAAATGGTAAGGGGCACATTAAATATAAGTCCGAATCTCGATAGATGTCGACTGATAAAGTCTACACTCCGCCCAGCGTCCATCCAACCCCGAAAGCTCAACTCGAGTTGCAAAATCGTTTCCAATGCCAGGATATTGCAAAAATGTAAGAGTACAATGGTAGGTTCTTGGGAATTGTCCAAATGACTGGGTCTAAGGTCTTTAAAACCCGTCGTTTAAGAGAAACAAAAAAGATCTCTGATCTCATCAATAACCTTATAGAAGAGAGACGAAACATGGATCTGCAGTCATCTGAAGATGCTACTCAGTATCGGCGTCTTAACAGATAGATCTCTAAGTCTTTTGACTCGCGACCTACGCATATAATACAGACGATTGAGCATAACAAGGGCTCTAAGGTGTTCGTAAGAGATTCGTCTGTCTGTTGGCCAAAGCCAACTGACCAAGCTGAAGACCGAGAAGAGCGTCGGGGCCTGAGATATTGAAAGAGGTTGAGAAGTTCTACGGACAATTATACACGACTGTGTTCACACCTGTTACAAATCTAACCGAAGACCCAAAAGCTAGACCCGACACAATACCTAAGATATCCCGAACGCCAGTCTACACGAGCTTGGAATAGCTCTGGAATAGCTCTAAACAACAAGGCCCGTGTGATGATAGAATTACGGCTCAGCTTTTGAAAGCAGGTGAAATGTCGATGCTAAAGGCTCTTTGGAAGCTGTTCTATTCCGTCATCCTCGGGGGAAAAACTTCTACGGCACGGCACAGAAGTGTGGTGATACTCTTCTTCAAAAAACGGCGATAATACCTTGTTGAAGTATTATAGACCCATCTAACTTCTGAACCAAGTCTACAAGCTGTTTTCGAGTAATTATGAATCGTCTAACTCGCCGACTTGACGCCTTCCAGCCTCCTGATCAAGCTGGTTACCAGGCTGGCTAGCAGGCTTTAGTGTCTTAGATCACATACATACGCTGCGGCAGATTATACAGAAGATCGAGGAGTATAATCAGCCACTTTGCCTGGCGTTTGTGGATTATGAGACAGCCTTCGATTCGATTGAAACCTGGGCAGTTGTTTACGCCGTTTATGTCCTGCTTCTTGTAATTGTGCACATTAAAATTCATCATATGAACTCGGAATACTTCAAGAATCAATTCCTTCTTCATCAATAGTGTATTTCACTTGTATAGCTTCCTAAAAGTATTAAAATACAGTTTGAAACACCGCCTAAGTTTGAAAAAAAAAATTGTAAACACCGCTTAAGTAAATGAAGATATTTTCTATTATCATTTCCTTATATATTAATACGCGTAAATCATTAAAAAATACATTATTATATAGCTTACCTCTTAATCTTCTATTAAAACTTCTTTCATAGACCTTTTCGCGATAAAACTCACTTAAAAATATAAAAATTACGAAGCGCGAAGGAACTTTACGAGAAATGTATGGCAGACTAACGACTTGAGCGGTGTTGCGAGGCAAACCGACTTGCGCGGTGTCACTAAAATTCAAATTACGGCTTCTTATTGGCTGAAATCTATAACATGTGACCAATGGTTAGACGCGCGATGAGCAGATCTATCCAATGGCATTAAAATGTCAAAACCGCCAAAAATCGACTTAGGCGGTGTTGTTAGCTAAGGGACGATATACGATGTGTATGGTTATGTATAAAATGAAAAAACGTTTACACATAATAATTATTTTATTTTAAATCTTAGGTCAAAGAAAACTTATTTAATTACGTCATATTTATTATTATTACTCCATTTGGACGGATTTGTTATAATATTAACCTATTTCATCTACGTTTTGGTATTTATTATAATTTTAATTAAAAACATTATACTACTTTATAATCAACGTAACTATATTATTTTCTTAGATTTCATTTAATGGCATATAGTATTAAAATATAAGTATTTATAAAATCTATATTTGCATCCAATATTCTTATTTTAACTACACGTTATAATATTGAGTGATTAATACTAAACTATGTTGAACAAAAATGATTCCATGTCGTTTATACCAACATATTATTTTAAATATTATCTGACATGATAATTATTGCTTTATTTTAAAAATAATTTTAATTTGAATATTAAAGAAAAGTGAACTTTGATTTGTTCGATAATCCAATTATCAGCAAAATAACAACAAAACAAAAATCCCTTTCTAGATAAGTACATCCTAATATATCCTTTTTATCAATACAAACAATATAATTAATTATATTATAATCGGCAGAGATAATTCAATCATAATAAGATAATACTAATTAATGATATATTTCTGTTGCTATATGGTGTTTGCGGGGCTTACACAAGTCTCATACAGCTAAAGCCTGGTCCGTGAGCACGTAGAATTTTGTCCAATGACCCCAAGCTACCCATCCTTATCGACTGTGCGACGGGCACCCGCAGTGAGTGTGCGAGTGCGACAGCAACATAATTACGCGCGACCGATAAGGATGGGTAGCTTGGGGTCATTGGACAAAATTCTACGTGCTCACGGACCAAGCTTTAGACGCCCCGCAAACGCCCCGTAGCAATGTTATTATACCACTATCCTTCTTTTCGTCACTTTATACAAACTATCCGAATTCCTTGACCGTTAATTTAAATCATACCCATGAGCATTAACAAAGATGGCGCTTTATTTACAAAATATAAAATGTATACATTTTCTATATACCGGGTGTATATAAATTCGACCGGTATTTAATGATATATTTAAGAATATAAGTGTTTTATTTTATATATTATAATCGCAATATACAGCATAGTCTAAATATTTACATTAAAATAAATGTATTTATATTAAAGGTGAAATAATAACTTATTGTTAAAACTGTGACACGAGACTAGATCTGTTTGGAAGTAAAACTAATAAAATATTTTGTTGTACAGTAACCATCAAGAAATAATATTTATTGCAGGCAACACTTTAAGGAGCCATCTTTTGGTGGAAAAAACTTTACGATTGAGCTGAAAATTACCCTATTAACTTAGAAAGTCAATTTAAGCCCTTAATGCCCGTTTTCACCATCATACCCTAATTTTTAAGTGACCCCTATGGTAATACAACAGGAATTTTATTTTTATAGCGGTAATTGATGTGAGTAGATAAGTTTATAAATAGAGTAACAGCCATACATAGGGTCAGACGTAAATGTGCATTTCGTAAAATGTGCACTTAAAAAAATGAGCACTTTTCTATACAAATGTAAAGGATGAAGAGTTTGTTTGTATTATATTAGTATGTAAAAGTGCTCATTTCGCGAAATGATCATTTTGCGAAGTGCACATTCTGCGTCAGACCCCACAGATAGTCTAAAAACTGAGTGATTTGTAATATACATGGTAGTAAATAATAATGTTTGCTTCGCGCTCGACTTGGCGGAGGCACTGCCGTGCCACCAGATGATATCAATATAGTATTGTTCTAGTTTTGAAAAGCAATAATATTATTTCTTGAAGACTATTATAAAGCATCTATAGATATACAACGGTTGTCAAGTTTTATAATCTGCATCTATTGGTAACTAAAGTAATTAATAATCAAAATCCTTCGCAGTCTCCATCAAAAATCTGTAAGAAAAACATCAAAATTAATATAGCATTCCAAAAATATAGAAAAATATGTAAGAATTTTGTTAAATACCTACTTTTGCATGCAATCCCGTTCTAGAACCTTCATCACCTTGAAAGCGATTTAAATAAGACAATAATATATTAAAACTCATTTATTCCGATTAATTATTATTAATTAAAATACATAAAGCTTTAAGTACTTAATTCGTATAAAAATATAAAATTAATAACCGATAAGTACTGCACAATTATATTAATTAATTTAGTATCTAGTATCTACTGAGTTAATAATTTATTAATAAGCTTACATTTTGTTCGAAATTTTGTTATTTATTGGCACAAACTTTTGATTATTAATAAAAGTTAAGGAATAATGTTGCAACTTTACAGTCAATGGTCTCTTACTGCCTTTGCAAGCCAGAAAGAGACAAAAATACCAATACCAATCTTGGATTTTTTGTTAAGTTGCAACTCTACTCCTTCCAACCCGCGCAGTATTCATCTCTCACTTATTCATTAAGGATTGTGAGCGAGATATGTATACGTCGGCATATTAAAAGTGTGTGACTTAATAAAATGTTATTATTTTTAACTGCGCAGGTTGTAAATATTTCTAAAAGCGTAATAACTAATAGGACGATCAAAGCGCATTCTACAACCAATACCATACCAAACGACTAACTACTTAAACCATTTAAATAACTTAACAAACAATCTTTTACTTTGAATCTTTTACTTTGAATTCTTGGTGATAGACTAACGCCCGTATTCACAAACATTACTATGAGGTCTCACAGTGCGCGTGGACGCACAGGGTGACACACGAACCAATAACAGAGCTCTATTCAATGCTGTGCGTTCGATTTGCTACTTCACTTAAGCAAGCATCGTTTGTCAATACGGGTGTTAGTCTATAGATGAGCTACACTGAACTGTCCCATCAAATTCATTGACAGGGAGGCGCCACCATCGTTCAACTATATAGTTTCCAACATGGCAACAATAGAAATTAACGATCCGGTATTGACAGTGGCGCCCCCTGACAATGTCACCGATGGGACGGTTCGTTGAAGTTGGACAATATGATGTTTGCGGGTGGAATAAATGACACTGTTATTTGTCATTTCCATCCTGTATACTTACTGACGCAGGAAGTACGATGAATAGTAATGTACCTTAATAATATGACATTAAAGTTTAAATTGTAATGTCGATGGTTGGTTTCAGTTATTATCATTGCAATGTAAACGTAGTTTAATAAAATATTAAAGTACATTACTATTCGTTGCCGACTTTGTCATCGAAAAAGATTGTTTGAAAGTCACAAATAAGCCCAGTGCAAAATAAAAAGTTTTAGAAGCCAAAAGCGTCACTATGAGCGTCCCGTACAATATTGTGCTTTTATAAAAATGCAGACATTTTAACCCTTAGAAGCAAGTCGATTTTCACCCTTAAAGCCTCATATCACTTGGAACAAATTTTGAATATCCCACTTATGTATGTGTAGACTATAGAATATGAGTCAATGATTTGCGATATTATATTCATAATGTTCGAAGTGAAACGAGGCTTAAGACTCAATATAAGGTGGCAACAATACTACCACAGCCTTGAAAAGGTTTAAAAAAGTAGAGTCAGGAATGCATGCATTTCTATCACAATAGTAAAGTTAATAAACTAACTACATAGTAGTGAGTGTCACATAACACAAATAGTAGTAGAATTTTCCAAAATATTTAACACTTTTAATAGTTTGTATATCGATTTTTACTTTCTCAAAAATCCAGTGATTATTAATCTCGATCAGTTATTGTTAATTGAAAAATATATGTAAAAGATTTTGGAAAATTCTTATTTGTGATATTAGTCCAATTAATTTGTGATGTCCTATATCTTATTTAACCTAGGATCAGCCAAACACTGGCTTTAAATGTTCTACAATATTAGAAACGTGTTAACGCGTAACTTTAAAAACCAACTAAAAATTAAAAAGGTTAACATTAAAATAGTCTATTTATATACAATTAACTACGAAAGAGAGATAATTTGCTTGTAAATTTGCTCTTATACCACAGGGAATAAGGACAAGTTTAACATGCTACGTGTGATGTTTTATATTCCACTGATAAAAATTAAACTTATAACCCATACCCCGAAATATCCCCCTGTTACTGGCACATTAAACTAAGCTAAAACGTGTATATCTACTTTTCAAGTATAAATATTGCACTAAACACTTTAAGCAAGAGCTTGAGTCTTTAAGCCTAAGTTCACTTTGGATATTTCTAATTATTTACCCTAAAATTTCTGACTTAAAACCTGGTTGTTCTTAATCTTAAACTATTTAAATTGAGTACTTTTAAGTAACCCTTTTAACATTTGCGAATAATAAATAAAAGCTATCTAAACTGCTAAAATAATATCTAAATGTGATATGCAAAGTTCACTTTAACATCTAAAACTAATTTCATATTACATATTTTAATTCAATATCAAAAAGGCCTTTGTCAAAATCGCTATTTAGTATCGCCTAAATTTCTCTAACTAGAGAGACGGACTACTAATTCTCCAGTAATGAGCATAATACAAAACTATCCTATTGGGCTGCGATTATATAAAATGTCTTAAAAAGGGTCTTAAGCCTTTCCTCACTCGTATAAAATTACTATCAAAATATATTAAACGGACCTTTAACCTGTTAACTTCCATCACCACTTTCTATCAGGTGAGATGTAGGCCAAGAGCTTCATTGTTGTGAATTAAAAAACTGTTGATACTTCAATAATACCTACAATATGCCCTACAACTAGCAGCGTAAAGTGTAGACCCTAGTCCTTATAACAATATGCCCCTAAACAGCCAACTAATAGCAGTGGAAACCCTAGTCATCCTAAACAATCTTAGGTACTAGCAATGACACCCTTGTCATTCTCCTGATATGCTCCTACAGACTCCTATTACTAGCAGTGGAAGCCCTAGTCAAATCCAGTCCTTTAAAGTCCAACTTCTAACAGTGTAAATCCTAATTTTCCCTCTAAAGTTCGTGGCACTCAAATTAGCCAAAATCTTGACAACACAGCTGTATTCCAATGAGGGTTTTCGCGAATGAATAATCCGCCAGATGGCAATACGTAGTAGCGAGGTCCAAATGCTGCATGATTGGTTATTTTTGACATGACATTGACAGATATGTCAAAATCCACCAATCACGCAGCAGTCAGACCCCACATCCACGTCCCGCCATCTAGCGGATCTTTCATTTGCGAAAACCCTCATTGTAACAAAGACGTGATGCGATCTTTTTGGTTACTTTGTCACCCCGAAACCCCAGGTTTCTCCTGGTACCTAACCCCTAATCATTCCCTCGATAATCCACGTAGACTCTAACCACTTCACCTTCATACTTCCGCTGCGACGGCATAAAGTAGAAGTCAGGTTGCGCGTGCGTCGCGTCGGCGCGGCCTCGCGGTAGCGAGTACGTCGCGCGATCGTTGCCTCCGCCGTGTGCTCCGCGGCCGACGTACCTGGCGGTGAAAGGGTTAAGTGAATTAAAATGATATACTGCATGATTTAAATAATGCCCTACACAGTCAACATTCAACAAAATTGTCTACACAAAACATTGTTTCACTACGTACGTGTTTGATAAGCAAAAACATTGTTGATGCAAACAAAAATGTGTAGTGAAACAATATTTTTTGTAGACAATTTTGTTGAATATTGTCATTTTTTATTATTGTTTAGAGCAAAATGCGCTGGAGATCCGGCTTAAAAACACCTATATTTTTTTCATAACAAAGAAACAAAGACCTCATAACGGTAGTAGGAAGGCGCTGGATGCAGACCAACCGGTCATTATAAAAATCATTGGGAGACGCCTATGTTCAGCAGTGGACGTCCTGCTGATGATGATGAAGAAAAAAAAAAACAAAAAATAACTGTATGTATGTAGCTGTTGTTAAAATGAGTTTCTAGCGGTGCTTCTCGTCACTGTGTTCTCACCACTCAATGATAGTCTCGAATATGTAAAGAACATGAATTTAAAAAACTTGTCATATTACATTATGCTAATCTAAAACTAATCTTAGCAAGTAGGTATTATACTGAGTGAGAAAGCTCTATAGCTTTTTTGCTTTTGTTATCTACTGTCTTTTTCTAGCAGTAAAGAGTGAAATTAAAAAGATCTAAAAACTGAATAGGTACCTACTACTCGCACAAATTAAGGAAGTAACTTGTCTAGGTATGGTGATAAGTATGGTAATTCATACAGGAAATGGATACGAGAGTCGAAGATGTACAAACATTTTGAATATTTTTTTTAAAACGCACTCTCCGCAAGATTTGACTGTCAGTACATTAATCATTGCTCTATGATTAATGTACTGACTAACGAACAAATAGCAAAATGCAAAAATTGACTTGTTTGAATTGTTTGAATTTAATTTAATGTGAACTGAAATGAAATTTAAATATTTTATTATTATTATAATTATTAACTGTAACCTTAAACCTATGACTGTGTGTTGAAATAAATGAATTATTATTATTATTATATTATTTAAAAGGTGTCAAAAGCTTTTTAGCACCATTTTGCGTCGAATACCAAAAAATGTTAATTTAAAAATAACTCATTAAATAGTTAGATATTAAAGGAAAATATTCTAAGGAAAAAGATAGAGTTTATGCAAGTTCTAACAAATAAAAAAAATAACAATAAAATTTAAAATAATTTAACTTAAAAAACTATAGCGAAAATGTTTATCACAAAAAGAAAAATAAAATACAAAAAGGAATTTTTCGACCGTGACAGGACTCGAACCTGCAATCTTCGGATCCGAAGTCCGACGCCTTATCCATTAGGCCACACGGTCAGATGAGTGGGAGCGCGAAATTTCGCAACAAATGGTTTAGTGAGAAAAACGATGTTAGAAAAACATATTTTTCTCTAAATTTTAACCAAACGCAGATAGGAGGATAATGTTTACATGTGTAATTGCGACCGTTTGTTGCATTAACACCATGATAGAATTCAGTATAATGTTAATGTTCAATTCCTCTCCATAAGAAGTGTAATTGTTTCATTAAACAAATAACATGTGATACTAACAGTTTACTCTTTAATGTTACCTAACATAATTTTTATGATTAAGTTTCTTCTGACTTTTTCTATGTTTTCAGTTTATTTTTCTATAAAAAAAACTGGAAACTGCTTTCTTTTCCTGTCTGCCGCAACGAGATATTTTTGATTGGTGGTATCACATAGTTTCTTGAAGGAAATAATGTTGAGGTAGTACTGCACAGACGCTTGGGGCGTAAGCGGGGCGTTGTCTCTGCATCTAACTCACCCATATTGCTGTGTAGACCGCTGTATTGTAGCAAGCGCATTATTGGGGCGTTGATGTGTTGTTGTCTACATAATATCTAACTCACCCATATTGTTGTCGCGGCCGCTGCAGCGACCTTGTGTCATGATAATACTGTGCTGCGCTGTTGGCGGGGCATTAGTGGGGCTTTAGCGGGTCATTTTCTTTAAGTAACTTACCCATACTGTTGTCGCGGCCGCTGCAGCGATCGCGTGTCATGGTAATACTGTGCTGCACTATTGGCAGGGCGCGGCGTGCGTCTGTATTACACTGCACGCGGCACGTTAATGGGGCAGTAGCGGGGCGTTGTCCCTGTATCTAACTCACCCATATTGCTGTCTTGGCCGCTGCAGCGATCGCGTGTCGTGATAATACTGTGATGCGCTGTTGGCGAGGCGTTAACGGGGCTTTAGCGGGGCTTTGTCTCTTTATACTTACCCATATTGCTGTCTTGGCCGCTGCAACGAGCGTGTGTCGTGGTAATACTGAGCGGCGCTATTGGCAGGGCGCGGCGTGCGTCTGTATTACACTACACGTGGGGCGTTAATAGGCCGTTGTAGGGGCGTTAGTGGGGCGTTGTCCCTGTATCTAACTCACCCATATTGCTGTCTTGGCCGCTGCAGCGATCGTGTGTCGTGATAATACTGTGCTGCGCTGTTAGCAGGGCGTGGCGTGCGACCGTTAGCGTGCGCCGGTGACTTACGACCGTTGCCGTTGGCTGACAACTTGTGGCCGTTGGTTGGCGTCTGAAACGATGTGAAAGTTAAATTAGTTTTCAGTTTTGTTTAACAAAGTAAGTTGACAGTAGAGGTTTGTAATTATTGAAATATTTGAAACTGTTCTACTCCGCCAGTACCACAAGGATGATCAGGTTAGAATTTCCCCAATATTTCGCCCCGCAGGGCGGTGGTGGCGGGGCCTTCATCATCAAGTCTAGTCTCCGCTTCAGGTGCTATTCTATTTTACATTCATATGCGCTAGTACAACTGCGCAAGGCGTTGATGGGTCTTTTACAGGTCGTTAGCGGGGAGTTGGTGAGTCTTTTTCGGGGCGTTGGTGGGTCTTTAGCGGGGCGTTGATGAGACATTTGTGGGGCGTTGGTTGGTGGGTTTTTTATGGGGCGTTGGTTGGTAGGTTTTTTTATGGGGCGTTGGTCGGTCGTTAGCGGGTCTTTTGTGGGGCGTTGATGGGTCATTTGTGGGTCGTTTGCGGGTCTTTTGTGGGGCGTTGGTGGGCCTCTTGCGGGACGTTAGCGGGGAGTTCGTGGGTCTTTCGCGGGGCGTTAGTGGGTCGTTAGCGGGGCTTTTGTGGGGCGTTAGCGGGGCATTCGTGGGTCTTTAACTTACCTTAACTGGAGTCATCCTGTCCATCCTGTGCGCGCTACTGGGCCTGGGCGGCGGCGGGCCGGTGGGGCGTAGCGGCGGCGGGCCGGTGGGGCGTAGCGGCGGCGCGCCGGACGGCGGGCGCGAGCGCGGCGCGGTGGAGGCGGGGCCTTCATTGTCTAGTCTCCGCTTCAGGTGGTATATTCTATTTTACCAGCGAGGGTACAACTGCGCCGGGCGTAGTCGAGTCGTTGGCGGGGCGTTGATGGGTCTTTTTTAGGTCGTTAGCGGGGAGTTGGTCTTTTTCGGGGCGATGATGGGTCGTTAGCGGGGAGTTGGTTGGTCTTTTGTAGTGAGTCGGTAGGTCGCGCGGGCAGTTGGTGGGTCGTTAGCGGGGAGTTGGTGGGTCTTTTGTGGGGCGTTAGCGGGGATTTGGTGGAACTTCTGTGGGGCGTTAGCGGGGAGTTGGTGGGGCATTCGTGGGGAGTTGGCGGGGCATTGGTGGGGCGTTAGCGGGGCATTCGTGGTTCTTTAACTTACCTTAACTGGGGTCATCCTGTCCATCCTGTGCGCACTACTGGGCCTGGGCGGCGGCGGGCCGGTGGGGCGTAGCGGCGGCGCGCCGGACGGCGGGCGGCGGGTGGAGGCGGTGGCGAACTTGTCGTCGTTCTCGAAGGGCTCGAAGGCGTAGTTGGTGTTTGATGAGGAGTAGTCCTTCCACGCTGATGAGGGGATTAGCTGGTCCTGGGAAAAGGAATAATTATAATAAATACTCTTCATTGCACACCAGAACAAGAACAGAAAAAATAAACGGACACGGACAGCTAGGCAGGCGGTCTTATCGCTATGACGCGATCTCTTCCACACCTATAGAGAGGACAGTTACATAATACAAATATGAAGGGGATGAGTTTACGTCAAACGCATTCGATGTCGACCGCTTAAAAAAGTGACATTAAAATGTATGACGGATTGTACAGCGCCCCTAGCGGAAACGTTCAAGAACTAAAATTTTCATACTTTTTTTTTACAGTGAGCGCGTTTGATGTAAACTCACACAGCCCTCTGTCCACAAGAAATGTATAGTTTTTACCTTACAAGTCTCTCAAATGCACATGTATGCGCCCGCCCGTACCGTACAGTTATGTAGCATCCACGCTGTCACTTGTCATCAAACGAAAAAGGATTCTCAACTGTGAAACTAAAGATCCCTAAAAACTATACAGCATGCAACATAATTTCATCGTCGCTGTCTTTTTTAATCAAGCCAAAAACGTCCTTAATCTACTGTCATAAAGACCATAATTCCTCACCTTGCCCTTGCTAGCTCCACGGCCGCCATACAGCGTGCAAACTGCTTGTAGTAACGCCACCAGTATAAGGGCCGCTACACATCCGGCCACTACATACAGCTTTGTTTCAGCTAGGCCGAAGAAGGAACGAGCGCTGTCCGATTCTTCCTCTTGCGGGCGATATGATACGACTGGAAAATACGAGAAAATTTAAATACTTGGACATTTTAGACTCGTCTAGCGTCTAGACAAAGTAAGAAAATCTTGCAGTATGGGTACTACTAAATTAACAGAGAAACATGCTGAATTACTATGTATAACGTATACGTAGAGCTTAACAAAGGGAGATGCTTTCAAATACTACAAAAATTTGCACTGGGTGTTTTGCTATGTAAGCCTCGAGAGCCCTTGCATTTTGGCTTAGCGGTTGTGCAATGAAAGAAAAATGTTCTTGGGAATTAATTAAAAAAATATTGCAACACGTTTTTGATACGTTAATTAATTTTCATTAAAGCGAATAAAAATAAAGAAAAATGACAATGAGGGCTATCGTTTTAGCGCTCACCAGTTAGCGCCACTGTAGAGTAAGGTCTTTTCACTTGCTAGTAGCGAAGACAGTGGCACCAACTGGTGAGCGCTAAAGTGGTAGGAGGACTATCGCATTTGTAATCATCAAGATGGCGCCACTGTAGAGTAAGGTCCTGTCAATCGCCAGGGGTGCCAACTGTTAAGTATAAAAACGATAGCCCTCATTGAATTGATTGCAGAAAACTGATGCAGAAAAATTATAAAAATAATCTCGACAATTTTATGACTTTCACAAGCAAATTATTTGTGAATAGTCCGGTCCCCACATTTTATTCTTATCAGCTTGTCTACTTAAAAAGTGTTAAAATCAACTTACTGCTCATAGGTTCAAACACCAAGAAGTCCGGATCCACGTTCACATTTCCGACTCTTCCTAGCGCAAGCGTCTCTCTCACCGCCGCCTCCCACTTCACTTTATCGCCGTCCTTGTCTGTCTCGTTGGCCGCGACAGAGACGGCGCCATCGAGCGAGCGCGCGCTCGAGCCTTCGATTAGGTTAGAGTCGATCGATTTGAGAGTCAGTTCCGCGATTATTGCTTTTGTTTCGTTCCTGGAAATAAAGTTATGGAATCAATGGACCTATTTTGGAAATTCAAGCGAGAGATGCCTGAAATCGACTGGAATAGCGCAATACTGATGTGTCATCATTATCATCATCTGTTGCAAAATATTTGTTCAGGATTTTTGGTTGAGAAACTTGCAATATTTAGGCCGAGTTGCACCACCTAACTTTGACCGTAATTGTAACGACAACCGGTGTTTTTTGTATGGAGTTTGACAGTTTTCGACGTTTGTCAAAGTTAAAGTAACATGGTGCAACCCAGCCTTAGATTTAACTTCTGTGATTACTTTGTAACATTACTACTGTTAAGGCATATATCATAATTTCTAAAATCTCGTAGACGAAGACCCTAAAACTTCCTTTAAGATACACAACAGTTATCCTCATTTGAGACACCACCCACAAGGTGGCCCGATGACTCATAAGGGTAGCAGGAAGTCGTTGAATGCAGGCCGCTACCAACCGGGCGATGTGGAAATCATTGGGGGAGCCTATATTCAGTGGACGTCCTATGACTGAAAACTGGTACCAAAAGAAGTTCAAACTCACTGCATAAACCCGTTAACAATCACACCCTGGAAGCCCTTAGTGCTCTTCATCTCACTGGCCAAGCTATCAGCCACTTGCTTGCTCAGCTCTTCGTACTCCTTTGACCTACACTAAACTTAAACTGCTTTAGCTTGGAAGCAGGGTTCTGGAGTGGAGACTACGTACCGGAAAACGCAGCGTGAGACATCCACACACAAGGTGGCCCGACGACCTCATAAAGGTAGCAGGAAGGCGATGGATGCAGGCCGCTACCAACCGTGCGATGTGAGAATCATTGGGGGAGCCTATATTCAGTGGACGTCCTATGGCTGAAATGACGAAACTGGTACCAAAAGAAGTTCAAACTCACTGCATAAATCCGTTCACAATCACACCCTGGAAGCCCTTAGTGCTCTTCATCTCACTGGCCAAGCTATCAGCCACTTGCTTGCTCAACTCTTCATACTCCTTAGTCCCGGGGGCAGGCGGTCGAAAGCTGTCGGCTAAACCGGTGATCCGGATTAGCATGGTATAAGCGGTTAGACCTGGGATGGCCGGCTCGGTTGTTAGTTCCTCTTCTGGTGGCTCTGGGGATGGAAATAAATAGTTTTATAATCAATCTGATGCGTTAGAAAGCTTATTTAAAATTCTAATGCTGCATTTTTTGGTAAATCACAAAAATAAGGCTTCTTTTATTTGACCGATTAGCTGCTAGAGCAATTATTATTGGGGTTAATAAATGATTTTTGCGCATATAAATAGCTCCAATAAAAAAGGTTTCCAACTTGATCACTCAAAGTTATTTAATTTTTAACCCCCCTAAACAAATTGTTTAATTTTGTAGTCACAAAAACAAACAAAATACAGCATTGTTATGGTCCGGTATTTGAAGATAATATCTTCATATTATCACTTCATATTGTGAAAGCTTCTTCTTGATTAAGGATTCCAGGTGAAACTTCGGTCTGATCTTCACTTTCCATCAGGTGAGATGCAGGCCAAGAGCTTCCTCATTGTGGATAAAAAAGAAGAAAAAGATAGAAGTAACATTAATGTAAGACCCGGTTCTCGGAGATAATAGGCGTCTGCAAATGCTTGAGGAGATCCGTAAACGAAGAAAAGTCGCAGACATAGCCCGACGGATTAGCAAGCTGAAGTGGCAATGGGCAGGGCACATAGTACGCAGAACTGACGGCCGATGGGGCAGCAAGGTTCTGGAATGGAGGCCGCGTACCGGAAAGCGCAGCATAGGAAGTCCCACAAGGTGGACCGACGACCTCATAAAGGTAGCAGGAAGACGCTGGACGCATGCCGCCACCAACCGGCCGTTGTGGAAATCATTGGGGGAGGCCTATGTTCAGCAGTGGACGTCATATGGCTGAAAATGATGATGATTGATGAATGCTTGAAAGAAAATATAACATTAGGGTTCTTACCAGGGCCACAGGGCTTGATGCAGACCCTATTCTCTGATATGACGGGCGTCTGTAAATGCTTGCTGGTGCGCTTGTTCACTGGCTCGAAGGTACCGCCTTGCGTGATGAACATCATGTACAGGCACTGGGTATCTGTGAACGCGAGATCCTGGGAAGACAGCGAAAAATTTATAAGTAGGTAACTTTGGATAAATAAATATGAATATTACACAGTGAGATCTAGTCCTAAACTAAGGAAAGCTTATTCTATAGATACCAGACAATGGCGATAACATTAAGGCTCAGAACACACGGTGAAACGCAATTGCAACGAAACTGCAACTTCTAGTTACTTTTGAGTTGCATCTAAGTTTACTGCCATAGATTCCGTTGAGAGACCACACATGACGGTTTTGAAACCGGTTTGTTGAGAATGTAACTCAAAAGTAACTAGAAGTTGCAGTTTCGTTGCAATTCTGTTTCACCGTGTGTTCTGGGCCTAAAAGTATGAGTAGATAAATGCGTACCTACTAAAGGTTATCCATAAATGTACCTTTTTCACAAAACGAAATTTATACATTTCAGTCAACACAGCGTTTTAGTAGGAAAATTAACTTTTAATTAGTTTTTGACTACATAAAGTAGGTAGGTCATTCTTGGAGAATAGTGTTAAAATGTTTAATAAAATAACACAATCTCTTATAGAACTACCCATTCATAAATTCAAAGTAGAGGTTAAGAAAATCCTTATCAAAATGAGGCTGACAAAGGTGACTGAGTATCTTCCGCCACTTCTTATCAGCACCAGCCCATATGTTGTCCCGAAGTGGTGGTAGGGCAAGTTATATTTGGCACTTATTGCCCTAGTAAGGGCCTATGTACTGAATAAACTATTTGAATTTGAATCTGGTTCCCACTGGGAGTCAAGACACTTACCTTCTGGTCGCCAGTGTCCCTCTTCCTAACAAAGGTGAGGGTAGTCACACCATCTACCAGGCTGCCAGACTGCTTGTTCAGATCCTGACGCGGGTCGACCCTGGGTGCGGAGTAGCCTGACACCCAGGTGTCCATCAGGAATGGCCGCCCTGAACGGGATTCCACCCAGCCGATGACCGCGTCTGTTTGGGACTGGAAACGAATTTTTTATTACTAGGTCTGTGTGCTTACGATGAGTTAACGTTAGGTGTGCTCGCTAGCGTATACGTAAAAAATCTATGAAGATTTTAGTTCTTGAAAACAACCGCTAGGGGCGCTGTACAATCTGTCATACATTTAATGTCATTTTTTTACGCAGTCGCTAGCGAGCACACGTAACGTAAAGTCATGGTAAGCACATTGTTATAATTTCCATTGCATTCTCTAATTTAGAAAAAGAAGGAGTTTTCAGACTGAAAAAGTATATTTGCTGATTTATCATTATTTGATTTCAGCCAAATAACATTATTATCGAGCTCTCTATCTAATGATTTGATAAAACTTTGTCTTTGATCAATTTTATAAATACAATCGCATACATCAGGTAACATCCCAGACCTGGCCATAGACAAACAGAAGAAATAGCAGGGTTCTTATTACGGGTCCAACATGGAGCAATAAAGAATTTTCATCATCATCATCATCGTTTCAGCCACAGGACGTCCACCGCTGAACATAGGCCTCCCCCAATGACTTCCACATCGCACGGTTGGTAGCGGCCTGCATCCAGCGCCTTCCTGCTACCTTTATCAGGTCGTTTTTCAGGTCAGAATTTTAATTTGAAAAAAAAAAAACCTTAAAAAATAGAACTCACCATTTTCCTATCATTGCTGAACCCAATCCCCGTCCACTGATTCGTATGCTTGGTCTTGATAGTAAACCTGATGGAATCCTTCCCCCTCTTCAATCCGAGATACTCCCAGGATGCGTGGTATTCGCAGGTATTGTTGGCAACACTGCAGTTGGCGGGGTGTTGCCAGTACCCCCCACATTTGTCGGGGAGGGCGAAGACTCCACCGGAGAAGGAGGACTTTGCTTCTTCTGTTGGGAGTGATTAAGTTGTTAATCGTTTGACAATCTTCACACATACAGGATGTCCCAAAAACAATGGATAACCCTGCAACTCTTATATCCAATTTTGACCTCAGTAAAATTAATAAGACACCCTATAATTATAGATCAAGAGGCTGTAAGCGGTCGTAATTTCAGGGTGTCTATGGACTATGGAGTTGTCGATGATAAGGGCAATGGGTAAAGGGATTTAAATTGTAATTAGCTACTCATAGAGCATTTCGCTTAATTTAATTTTATATTTCAGAAAATTAAACTGGCTCTTTCCTTGCGCAAAGGCTCTTTCTTACCAACGAGGATTCTTTGGTAATTGAAACAAAATAAAAATAAAATCACCTAAAGAAGTTAAAGCTCCTCCACTCCTCGTTGCGACCCATGTCCATGATATTTCAACTCATCTTGTCTGTCTAGCTCCAATAGTACACAAAAATGGACCCTAATATTCTAGGAATACCGGCCACTCCTCTCTGCGATTGTTTGTCTTCGTACGATGCCGTCAGCTCCAATGATACGGTAAAGTTGACTCTATTGCTCTTGTAATATGTCTCAAAATCACTCACCAAAGAAGTTAATCCTGGTCACTATTATACTGGTATTTGCTGGGCTCCTTATGTTACACTAAAATAGACTCTATGACTCTAGGAATAGCTGACCATAGAAGTTGAAGCTTGGCACTTCACGCCTATAGAAGTATCCAGCACACTCCACACTGGCTCCAATACTACACAAAAATGGACCCTTATATTCTAGAAATACGTCTCCATATGACTTACCAAAGAAGTTAATCCTGGTCACGCCCCTCTGCGACTCATGCCCATGGTATTTCAGCTCGTCTTGCCTGTAGAAGTCTCCGGTAGCAGCCGTCCCCTTTTTTAGGCCCGAAGGGGGAGAGTGCACGTATTTGTAGGGCTCAGCAGCTCCAATTGTACGCTAAATTAGACCTTATTAGTCAAGAAATATGTCTCTAAATGACTCACCAAAGAAGTTAATCCTCGTCACTCCTCGCTGCGAGCCATGCCCATGGTATTTCAGCTCGTCTTGCCCGTAAAAGTCTCCGGTAGCAGCCGTCCCCTTTTCTATGCCCGAAGGGGGAGAGTGCACGTATTTGTTGGGGTCCTGTCGTTAGGCTAAAGTAGTCTCTATGAATCTAGGAATAGCTGACCATAGGATTTGAAGCTCGTCACTTCACGCCTATAGATGTATCCAGCACACTCCACACTGGCTCCAATACTACACAAAAATGGACCCTAATCTATATGTATAAATAAAAATGAATTGTTGTTCGTTAGTCTGATTAAAACTCGAGAACGGCTGGGCCGATTGAGCTGATTTTGGTTTTAAAATGTTTGTCGTAGTCCAGGGTAGGTCTAAACGGTGAGCAATTAAGGAAAAATTGCGATGGCTTATTTATTGCCTTTAAGGCGGAACAGAGTTCGCGGGGTCAGCTAGTATTCTATAAATACGTCTCAATATGACTTACCAAAGAAGTTAATCCTGGTCACGCCTCGCTGCGACCCATGCCCGTGACCATTCTTGTCTTGCCTATAGAAGTCTCAGTGACCGCCGTCCCCTTTTCTAAGTCCGAAGCGGGAGAGTGCACGTATTTGTTGGGCTCAGCTCTAATTATACACTAAATTAGACCATATTAGTCAAGAAATATGTCTCTAAATGACTCACCAAAGAAGTTGATCCTGGTCACTACCCTCTGCGACCCATGCCCGTGGTATTTCAGCTAGTCTTGCCTATAGAAGTCTCAGTGACCGCCGTCCCCTTTTCTAAGTCCGAAGCGGGAGAGTGCACGTATTTGTTGGGCTCAGCTGCAATTAATGCTAAATTAGACCCTATTACTCTAGGAATAGCTCACCAAAGAAGTTAATCCTGGTCACACCCCGCTGCGACCCATGTCCATGGTATTTCAGCTCGTCTTGCCTGTAGAAGTCTCCGGTAGCAGCCGTCCCCTTTTCTATGCCCGAGGGGGGCGAGTGCACGTATTTGTTGGGCTCCTGTCCCCTCGCCCAGATGATATGCATCAGGTCATCCACTATAGAGTGGTCGGTGGGTTCTTTGGCCTGAAAATAAGGGCAAAAAGGTATTTGTTAAGGCACAATAAGCTAAACACTGTGGTATGTTATTTAATTGTAATAAATGCCATTTTGCATTATTAAGCCGGGTTTTCACAGTACGAGTTGAGTCGGACCGAGTGGACTCGTACGAGTTAGGTCGTATAGGAGTACACTCGTATAGTGGTTTACACATCGAGTGTTCACTGCGGTCCGAGTGACATTCGTATCCCTATATCCGAGATGACGTCGAGTGATTTGCTGCTGAGAGGTGTAGAAGTTGTAGCAGATATGGCTTAATAGAAGAACTTCGGAATCAAGAAAGGGAAAAAGAACGAAGAAAGAGACAAATTTGGACCAAAAATGGGTTTTAAGACGTAATAAATTTGGTGCATCGGATAATTTTGCGTCTTTATTTTTATAATCAATTAGCCTCGCATTTCATAACACTTCCTTCGCTTCATATAGCTCCACAAACCGCAAAGTATCGCGTTCACTCCACTTTTTCTTAGTTGTCGCCATTTTGTTTTTCTGAAAACCATCCGAGTCAACTCGAAAAGTTGAGTAAGATCCGAGTCCGCTCGGATTGAGTACCGACGCCCGAGTGCACTCGGATTAGGTGTTTACACACTACGAGTAGCGTCCGAGTAGTCATCCGAGCCAACTCGTACCGTGAAAACCATTGAAGTAATATTGTACGTAGTACATTATAACTCAATGGTGAAAACCCGGCTTTTTTGTAAAACATTAATAAATATTATAAGGGCTCTCGCCCACGGCGACTTTTTTTAGTGATGCTGTCGCGCGTTTTGTAAACGAGCGACTGTATCGATATAAACGCGCGACTGTTTCGAATGACATCGGAGAGAGAACGAAGGGAGGGTTACTGAATCGCTTTTGCATCTCGATAGAAGCGCGACAGTATTGCGTTTGTATCTATTTATTTATTTATTTATTACGGTATACCAACAACATTACATACAAAGTAATTACATGAAAATCTTACATATAGAAGTTTAGTGTGTATGCATGCCAATAACAGGTACACACAGCTTTGGCTAAGGGGCCATCCATAAAGTAAGTCACACGAATTTCATGATTTTTTGAGCCCATCTCCGTCCTTGTCACAATTGGTCACATTTCTGAGACCCCCCCCTCCCTAGTGTGACGTCACATATTTTGCAATTTTACATCGAAAAATTGTTAAATTAACAGCAGTTCCGAAATTAGTTTTACTTCCATTTAAATTAAGTACTTTTTTATCAACATTATATCAAATATTTGAAATAATTGAAATGTGATGTCACGAAACTTAGGACCCCTCCCACCCCTTGTCACACATTGTCACACTTTGTCGACCCCCTCCCCCCCTCTTTACGTGTGACGTACTTTATGGATGACCCCTAATATACTTTGTTTATTTCAATTAATAAGTAGATAAGAAGTACAGTCAACAGCATATCAGACCACATAATAATATATTTGTTGTAGAATAGCTCACATCGTATCGCGACAGAATCGCTACTGCATCGCTACAAAAAGTCGCCGTGGGCGAGGGGCCTTACAGAATGAAACTATAGCTTATCATCCAATGGGAAGAATTCATTGCTATACCTTAATCTTCTTCCTGAACATAATGGTGGTGACGCCATTCTCCTCGAACCCAGCGGCTGCTGTGACGTCATCGTGGCCTCCCCAGAAGGTGTCCACGCGTGGGGTAGACCTGGATAATCAAACATGTTCTTAGAACTTACGGGGGCATAACGGGGTCCTGGTGAGAAAAGGGTATTTTACATGCATTAGTGATATACAGGGTGGAAACGTTAAGTGATCTCACTCGATTATTTCTAAACTATACTAGATATCGAAAAACTGATTACTGATTCTGAAAGTGCTTCACAAGCTCTATCAAACGGTACCAATAATAAGATACAGAATAAACTGGATCTATCAGAAAATTCAATGTTTCCAGCTTCCATACATTTAGTAAAACCACATAATATTAAAAACTATACAAGATATTCAAAAACTGGTTACTGATCCTGAAAGTGCTTCACGAGCTCTATCCAACGGTACCAATAATAGGTTAATAAATAAACTGGATCCATTCGATAATTAAATGTTTCCAGCTTCCATACATTTAGTACAGCCACAGTCATGGCACTCATGTCTTGTTAATATTAAAGCAAGTAAAGCCTAAAACCAATGTTTTCCAATGATAATTTTAAATAAGAATGCAATTTACGAGTTCATTTTAAGTGTTTATTATTTAATTAAAAAAATTTAGTACTTCTATCATTGTTTGGCTGGCATACATTTAGTATGGAGGCTGAAAATACAAAATTTTCGCATAGATCCAGTTAATTCTGTAACCTAA